ATTAATCATATCCGTAACAAGTTATACTGCAAGCAAGAGAAACTGTGTCTTGCCTTTCGGTCCATTCAAATCGTGACTAGTCCGGAACTATCAGGATACGCAATCATCTGTATCAAAGTTACCTCAAGTCAACCACAACAACAACAGCCAAATGTAACGTTACTTCCATAGCCTGAGGGTTGTGTGTGTGTGTGTGTTGTCATTCATAGCCTGCTTTCAGCAAAGTGTATAGTTTACAGTCTGGTACAAATGGTATTCAGTTACATAGAAATACTTATTGTTGTGGATACGTACATGTAGTCTTTGACAGCCTGTATGTATATCAAGCAGTTTTGGCAAGCCCCAAGTAAATAAGGTCATGTCCTTAGAAAGAAAAGTATGTTACAGACAGTATATGACTGGGGCAGGAATTCACAGTAGTGACAGTACTCCTTATAAGTAAGTTGTCACTACACAAGACCCTGGAATAAACTGTTTTCTTTTGATGTTTATCCTCCTCTGGAATCTTAGATATCCAGAACCCATGTGGGGTCTTGCTCGCTGGTTACACATCTTTACACTAGTCACACTACAAACAAAATTTCAAGTGTGTACCACTGTGTGTAGACTTGAGATAGTATCTTGTTCTTTTCAACTGTCTGCTTTCTGTCCTCTCTGACACGTCTGACTTGTTTGACCTTCAGTTTTAGACAAACTACAGACAGAGTTTATATTGACGTCAGACAGAAAATGTGACGTGAAGGTAGAAAAATTTTATGTAGCGCCTAACTGTGACCCCTTAGGGTAAAAGTGTGGGATATGGTCTGTCTATTGTCTGACTCAGGCATAATTGGATTCAAGCAATTAGCATACAATTGTATTGATTGTGTAACACATCACTTTAATGGGCTATACAGGACAATACCTTGGTATGCCCCCCAGGTCTAAAACATGTACAGGGAAAAAATCTACATTTTGTCGGAAACATGTAAAAGAGGAGGCAAATGAATGTATGCTTTGATTTGACTTTAATTAGACAGCTAACAAAAACACAAGCTGCTATACAGTATATCGTTATTTGGCCTTGTATTACCAAGGAGATTTGACATCTAGAAAATGATTTTTAACCTCCTTAGTGCTTGGTATTATTGTGAACTTGTATTTTTTTTTCCAATGGAAAAGAATGAGGAATGGAAAAAGAATAGACCAATTATCTGGTGGTGTCATGGGGGTCTAACACACACTGGGAAAACCCTGACATGTAAGACATCCTTGAAAACATTGGCTGAGATCTTTTATTGGATTCCTTGGGACACAGGGGAGGCTAAGGTGGTTTGGATGGAGCCAAGAGTGGAAAATTAGTCCCTATGGTAAAATAATGACATTCAGCCTGCCAATGATGTATAGGGTCCTGAGTATACCTATAGAATAGTAAAGACTCAGGTATAATTATGATCCATAGCAATACAGAAAAACGTAATGGTACAACGTATGCAGAGAGCTTTTGTAAAGGTGGAACAACATGATAATGATGATTCATGACTGCATCATATGTACAAACATATTACACAATGTGACATATACAAACAATGGTATCTGGTGTAGCCAACTTGCTTTTATACTATAGCAAAGGAAGTACGGCAATCAGTCCCACACAAACACAGGTGTGGCTGTAACCTGACTCCCCTGTTTCCTGTAGTAAAGGTGGGGAGGATTACCTTTTATAGGCACTGCCGTAGGCCTCCTGCGTTGTGTGGATTACCTGACCTGAACGTTCAAGTTTTCTACTGAACAAAGCAGAGGAAATGTCTCCATCCAGCTGATGCAACAAACCAAGAAGCTTCCAACAAACCTTGTCCTTGACAAACAAGCCCTGGTCTTATTATCATAAGACACATATGTGTGTGACTACCATTTTTCCTTTCTTTTCACTTCTAAACTTTTATATGATCTTCTTCTTTTCTACATACCACTCAGGATAAAAGAAGAGGAAAATTGTCAGTGTTTCATCCTTCTACTTGGATTGAACACATGGCCTCTAGTCTACCGCACACAGTGCCAATTATAGCCCATAGCAGGATCCTGTGCCAAATAACGGGATAGGTAATAATATTAGGGGTTTATGAGGAAGCCAATCGATTGAAAGCCATGATGGTGGCTACAGTGCATTGTGTGTTAATGGCTATGAATGATCCAATGATATAACATGATGGTAGGATTCGCCGCATAAAACTCGTCTCAGCATATAAAATCCCTCTTCTCCTTTTCGGTCGGCTCATCAAATCGGTTACAGTTAGTAACACTACAACTCACAAGTCAGCAGCTGGCAAAATGTGCTAATTTCCAAGCAGACGTTGGGGCAGAAAATCTTGAACGTCAGCTGGCTACAGAGCTCTTCTGACCGCCAGAGACCAGACAGTTAGAAAATCTCACACCCCAACATCTGCTTGGAGATTACAAACATTATGAAACATAGTACTACTACAGTACTAGACAGGAAATGAATTTTTTTCTTGGAAATTTCTTTGATGTCATACTGTCAAGATTATTTTCCCAGAAGTAATCCATTGTTCCTAACAGATACTTCCTTCATCAAGAATTCTTGGTCAGCCCTGCCCTTCACCAAGCTAGTGCACTGACCGCTCAAGACATTTACTCTTCTTCCTTATAAGGAGAGGACAAATCTTGGGCTGTGTGAGGAGTGGATCACATATTCAACAGTGTGGAAATGTGTTTACTTTGAGGGGGGAGGGCAGCCTTACATCTGCCAACATTCCTTCAAAGACCTACTATTTACTTCTTCACAGGTCTCAAACAGCTAGAAACTCAATCCAAATGTCTTACTGGCCATAACCTAAGGTCAATCTTATTTGTACATACATGTTATACATCATACAAATATTTTTCCTTATGTACAGTACAGTTATACCATTGTGTTGTGACCCCTTTTGACTTTTCAGACAAGGACAATAGGGTTTTACGATGTGTTATCTCGCTATCTTTGACCTTTACGTGATCTCCGCCTTCTGTTATTTGAACGAGGGTGTTCCTTTTATGGCGTTCCCCTTCCCCAAAGGAAACGCACAAGTCAAATAAGCCATGTGCAACGTTTCCTGTGGAGGACTGAGGAAGGTTTGTCAGTTCCAACGACTTCCAGTCATAACAGAACACTTTATTCTTGGCAGTCGACCATTTCTGTTGTGGGACTCTGTAACTCTATACAACAGACATCAGATGTTACATCAATAGAACAATTCTATCACAATAAAAGAATAGTAATATATTTATAAATCAAGTTGGTTTCATGTGGCATAATTGTGATGGATGAACAGTGTTATGCATAACACAGTACCTTTAAAAAGACATATAAAACCATTGCTTTGGATGACACACTGGTAATTTAGTTTATGGTGGATCAGAATATAGAGAATTGTTTTGGATATCAGTAAGCCCAGGTGTTCTGTAGCTATGAATGTAATCCCCAAAACAACCTCCCAAGGGGTCATGTGTGACACACAGCCCAGTTTTGGGGCAGGGCACAATCCTTTCTTTAAATAGAGCCAGTCTACAGGGTCCCCCTATTGGGAATATGATAGGCCCAACTGGAATGTTTATCTAATGTTTCAAGAGTACAGACACACCCTAAAATAGCCTCCAACTTAAGTTTGAAAGACTTCATAAAAAAGAGGGTGAGGTCAGAAACAGTTATGACTAATTCTTTGCATAAGAAGTTTTCTCTGATTTCGCATCTTTTGTTGAAAATGTGATTCACGATTCGTGTCAACAAATGAACTCTTCAAACAAGCTGACAAAATCCCCAAATTCCCTAAATGAATTAATTATTGTAAAAGATATTAAGCCTTGAACAATAACGGTAGCATAGCACAATAGCATCATATATTTCTTCACAATGAAATAATTTGTGCCTGTAAAGGGGGCAAATGTTTAGAAAAAAAATGCTTCTTTATGGAGATGTCTTTAGAGAGTTTACAGTATCCTGTATCAACTACAATCGGTGCCAACACATTACAACTGACTCAGGAAAGGATATAAAATTGCTTACAGAGGCAGTTCTACCTCAGTCTTTAATTTGGTCCAGCTCTCTCATTACACAACCATGCTGGTGGAAACTGTTGTTGTTGAAATTGACATCGTTTTTAAATGGCATGTTACTAGAAAAGTTGTCTGCAATTACTTGACTATTAATTCTAGTGGGTTTGGACCAGGACAAAAGTGGACATGTGAGATTTTAAAAGCCTGGATATCAGTTTTCTCCCCCAGGAAACAGTCCAAACCTTGTGTTCACACTCAAGCTGAGTGAATACACTGAGAACAGCCGTACAAAGTTGACCTTGCATACCCCAAATATTAGATTAGCCATTTTCGGCCCCCCTCCCCAACCTCCCAACTTTCTTGAAAACTCTTTTAGTGTGTGATGGAAATCGTGTATCCTTTGTTCTTTTATATGGGGACCCGCTGGGGAAGGTGTCTGCCCATTTTCTGCTCATTTTTTACAACAAATGGGCACAAAATCACCCCATATGTAGCCTGGTTTGTATTCATGAGTGAAGGGCTCTTTGATGGAGCTCTGAGGGGACCGTAGGGAAAATTTCCCCAACCCCCTGCAACTTTACAATCTCCATGACAATACCCACTCAATGGGAAAAATGCAAAGGTCCTGTTTAAAAAAAAAAGATGATTTCGCAAGGAAATAAAAATAATACGCTGTCCTTGGTCCGATCGAAAGATTTAGTCCGAAGATGGACCATATCTCGAATCTCGTTCCGCTTTGCTGCTTGCGTAAAACAAGTTCCGAGCGAGTTTTTGGTAGCAGAACTTTCACCTAAGGCTGTTTTACAAACTACTTTACCGGTTACAAAACACTAAAATGGGACTGGAGTAGAGGGAAATGAACTGATGTGTATAGAAACAACGAAATTCCGCGTTTGAAAGAGGAATTCCGTCCCCCCAAAGTACTTAGAAAATAGCTTGGGCCTAAGTAAACTAACGGCGGTACTTACACATTTTCGGTGACTCGAAGGGGGTCCGACTCGCCCGCAGTTATCTGGTGCTGCGCCACGGAAAATCCGAAATAAGAGTTTCGACGGCCCTGTTTGACCAGAGGTATCCTCGTTTCATAGTTGAAGCCTAACGTCAGGGGTAAAATCCACAGAAACACGCAGAAAAGTGAGGGTAAAGTGGACCCCATCCTTCCCATGTTGGCCCGGCTGGCAAAAATAACTGGACTAATTTCCAACTCTCGTCAGACTCTCGCTAGCGGGACCCTAATCCTCGCGAGACTTGGTGGCTTTCAGGCGGTGACCAAATGTTTATAAATATTCATATATCATCTCTTGATAATAGGACAGATATTG